AAGCAGGTCAAGAGGTGATTGGCAAGCTCAGAATGACAGCATCTGTTGGGGCTGACAAGGCAGCTCAGTGATTAAAAGCACCAGCTCATCTTCAAGAGGACCAGAATTTCATTCCCAGCACCCCACAAGGTGTCTTACACCCATCTGTTACTCTGGTTCCAGGGAATCTGTGCCTTCTTCTAGCCTCTGAGGGACCTGAATGCATGTGGTGCACCCTCTTAAATGCAGGCAAAATGCCCATATGTATAAAATAAAAGTAAATACAGTTTTCAAAACTAAAAGTAAGTGCTGTCCTTTTGTGTGAAGTATTTACCCCTGTCGATTTAGAATTAGTTCTGCTATAGAGCCAACCCCCCCCCTTTTTTTTCTAATCTAAGACAATGCTTCCTCTTAATCACTGTCTGGTGAAGACTGGCTGTTTTGAAAACATTACTCTTATTTCAGCAGGCTCAATTTCCACCAATGATCATTTTCAACTTTATCTGAGCCTATGTGTATGGACTCATCTTGGCATTGTGGTAGCCATTGTAAGGCACAGTTGCACCTATTTTCTGAATGTAACCTGAATTGGTCTTTCCATCTTAGATCTCTAGAAAATTCCAAATACACAAACATATGAAAGGTAACATTTTTGCAGCTGGACAAAGTCCCCACGAGTGACCCTGATATGAGTGAAGGAGAAAGCAGATACATTTTGGCTGGGATGAAGTCACTTTTATCCTGACCAATATATATCACTCTTCTTTTGACTTAAGTCCTCTTGGCCTTGCTGATCCTTGCATGATCCTTGATACCCAGGATCATACTTCTGGAATTCCCTCCCAGATTTGTCCTCCAAGCAATCATGGAGCAATTTGCCTCTCTTTCAGTTTCATAGCATTCTGCATCTAGCTTTCATACATTGGGGCTGGACTGTTCTGGAACACTATGTATTTGGAAAAGAGGAGATATCAGGAAGTCACCTAACCATTTGTGCTCTAGAAACCACTTACTACAAAGATCTCTCTATGGATGAGAGATCTCTCATCCATTTACAAATTCCATAAGGAGGCCAGACACAAACCTTCCCAATTCCTATTCTTAGTCTCCTAAATTGAACTGTATGTCCCTACTATTACTATGAACCAACTGTTTGATAATTTAATCAAAATTTAACTAGGCAGCTTGCTCTCTTCATGCTCTTATCTTTGAATTATCTTTGAGTTTAAACAAATTTTTAAAAATGTAATCAAATCAAGCTCTGAGAGGTAGAAGAACCCCCTTCTCAGAGTTATCTCCCCATAAAAAGAGACACTTCCCTGAATTGCTTCTTCTCACCTGGATTTTTATTTCTCCCTTTCTTGACAACCACAAAGAAAAAGTGCTTTTTGCCTGACCTCTGACATGCTTGTCCTGTTTGCCTTGAAGTAATGCCCTTGCTCCCATTGCAATATTTTCAAATGACTCTCTTTCTCTAACTCTTGTTTGCCTTTCTCAACGATTTCCAGGCTTTTTTTTTGTTCATTCCTACATCCTAATTTTCTTGGTCCTGAAATCTATTTACTGCTGCACTGCACTTATCATAGCTACAAATCTAACCATAGAAGGATCTCAGGGACAAGATGGTTTTGTCACCATGGAAACCTTTGTGGAGACTGAAACACAAGAGACACATTAGTTTTGTAACTTTCACGAACTATGAGACATTTGCAGAATTTCATTAGTAGATGCCGACATGAATTGGAGAAAACTAGAGCCTGATAACCTTTTTTGAGAAACTGAGAATGGTTTTAAATCTACACACTAAACTTTCTGACACATGGCTTTAATAACTGACTTGTTAATCTTGATTCCTGTTTATTACAGATGGGCTAAAAGGAGACATGCAAGTTGGTTTGTCTCATTGGCCTCTGGTTGTATATGAATTGGTGGCAACAAAACTATTGGGGTACCTAGATCAAGTGCAAGGAAAAGTACACGAAGGAGGACATGCAGTTCCATTCACGATACTGCCACTCTGGATAGGCTCCACATTTCTGATATAGTAGCTCTTGTTCTCCTACTCCATGACAGCTGGAGTGTTTCCACTCTAGAGCCTCTGTGTCTTATCTGAAAATATTCCCTTGGAACATTCACAGTTGAATCTGAGAACTCGTGATCTGAATGGGCCAAGTGGATAACACTGCAGTGTCAGGGAAGTGGCTGCAGCATGGGAGCCAGGAGACCTTAGCTGTCATTATAGTTGCTCAGTACATTTTAGTGTGTGTCTGGATGTGCATGGGTGTAAGAAATACTAAAATGAATGCCACAAATAATTTAACAAACATTTATTGTGTGAAATTTATTGTGCTATGGCCCTTAGGAAATACAAAATGATCCAACATGAATTCGCCCTTCAGGCACTTACAGTCTACTAGGGAGTATCAGAAAAAAGTAACATGATAGAAGGTTTGAGAGGTCCTAAAAGAAGTACAAAATCAGTGTCCAAAGAGTTCACAGGGGAAATGTTTTAGCTCAGAAAATCATGGAGAACTTCATCAAGATGAAATTCATGTTTCACTTGAAATATACATGAAATGTAGACATGTAGAAAGAATAAGAACTTCTAGTGCAAGGGCACAGAGCCCCTGGAAGGTTAGGTGTACAATCAGGTGGGAAGAAACTGTCCAGGACTGGGTGATAGTCCCCATCTGAGGAGACAGCTGCCACTCAGCATTAATGATGTGTCTGTGTGCACAGCTGTGCGAAAGAGCAGGACAGAACTTAAAAGGAATAGACTAGAAGGAGGCTTCCTGGACTTGCAATTCCTAAGTATTTTTCAACCTGTATTTTTAAAATGTAGACTAAAGAAAATAAAAAGAGAAAAATGAACCATGCTGATAACTTGGTACACCTCCTAGCAAAGCCAAAATACCAGCCCCAGGTACTTTGGTAAGCGATTTCTGATTAACAGCCATGAAATATTGAATTATTAGAAATGTAAGGGTTTATTTCAGGCAGCAAATGCTTAGAAGAAATATTAATCTAATGTATTGAATTTATATTTTGAAACATCTGACTAATGCAAATTTTCGAAAACATTAAGGTTTTACAAATTGGAGTGACTGATTTTCTATTGTCTTCATTCGAAGCTATAGGTTTCTGAGATGGAGCAAAGATCTATGGGTTTTAATATATGTATACACAAACAAAGAAACATGTGTATACATATGCATGTACATATATGAGACAGATGTAGGGTGGATCAAAGGAAGGAAAAGATTCAGCCAGAGAAGGGGTAAGATTTATCAAATATTCCTTCTCACCCCCCCAAAATCATCTTATAAATTCAATAGACTATACAATATATCATAATTAGCATTTAATTTATTGAAAAAATCTTTTTATACTCCTTTTTGCATAACAATACCACTTTTATCTTTAAAATCTGATTAAAAATATACTTTTAACACCTTGACACCGAGAATGTTTTCAGCATGGGACAGGGGCTCTGCCTGAACTGTGTGGTTAAGGCTCCAGCTCTGAGGCACACTTGAAGACTAAATGAAGCACCATTGTCTCTTCCTTTCAACTTGAGTGCTAGGGTCCCCCAGGGTCCCTCAAGGTCACCAACATTGCCAGGAGAAGGAACTGATCTATCTGAGTTCCAAGCACAGACCACACAGCTCAAGTTTAACTAAAAGCTAATCAAATTAAGCATTCTAGGACATTTGAGGACACCCCCAGTCTTCTCCATTACCTTCAATGCCTCGACTGCAAGATACACCCTCCAGTCATCCAAAGGCCCTGGCAATGCTGAATTCTTTCTTGGTCTTCCTTGAACATGTGTCTGAGCAAGCAAGAGACATCACTACGAGCGAGGGTATTGGGAACTGTTTGTGCCGCTGGCTAGTCTCAGGCTTCTTACTTTCCAGAGACAATTACATCTGTTGGCCTTTTCCTTCTGCTGGAGTGTATGCAGATCAGATCTTTAAGGTCCCAAATAAGTTCGTGGATGTTTATGTTATAAGAATTCCGGTAGAAACAGTTTTCTATGAAACATGCAACAAACTGAATCACCTCAAATGTCTTCCCTGCATCATCTCCTGTTTAGTAAACCACTGTTTTCTATCACTTGTCATTTTGCCACAAGACAGAAAAGAACATAATGTTATGAAGAGGACAATGGTCCCAGATTTCCGACAAGCCCCATTTACATGGTACATTGTTCCAAAGGACGTTTAAGTGGGAAATACAGAAGCACTATGCAAACCTATTATTACATTGAGAAATCATTAGGCTCAAAGGAGTAATAATGGTATGCTGTTAAAACTCTGAAGACATTTTCAGTGTCTGTATTGAAAAAGAAAACTTTATAAATATGTAAATTTCTGTTCAACAAATTCAAAATAAAATGCACTAAAAAACTGATATGTAGACAAAAGTTTATTTACACCATACGACATTTTAAATATTTTATACACAGCTGCAGCAGAGAAAGCTACTCAGAGCCTTCTAGAGAAAACTGCAATAATAAAGATGTGAAATATATTATTCATATAAAAGTGAGATTATTACTTTATTGCATTTAAAGCAATGAAGAATGTAGCTCAACAAACATTCATTTAATGACAAAAACTTTGCTTTTATATTATAAAGTAAAAAGTGTAGTAATGGCCAAACAGACTGTTATAAACTTTAAAAACTGCATAAATATATACATTGTGCTTCATGGTGAAGTTTTCTGAAAACTAACCCACATGAAGCTGTTACAACATGAATCGTTGCTTGAGGTTTCTCTATAAAGATTACTTTACAAATCCATTCCACGGGTACTTACAACACGGGGTGGTGAGAACTGTACACTTGGCCGTCTCTCCACTAGCCTGACCAATGAGAAATTACCATATGAAAACACTGATGTTGGCACAGGAAGGCCCTGACAGAGAGAAGTCACACTGTTCAGGTGGAAACACCAGGCTTCCCAAGTCTCAGTGTCAGTGTGTTGGATTGGGTCTCCACCTCAGTTTGCTTGGATTGTGTTACACTTCTGTTTGAAAGTCACCCTCTTGCACGTCCAGAGGCAAATTCAGACACTTCTCCCACTCGGCAGGCCTCAGCTCCAGAGCATCCTTTGCCTCTGAGTCTAAGACATTGATTGTGGTGTAATGTGGGTATTCGCTGGGGGCCTTGAAAGTGTCCCAGGGGTTCTTGTTTGCTGCTGGGTTCTCCTGTTGAGGAGAAGAACAAAGCTGTTTATTTCATGATTAGTATTACTGTTTGCTGACACTCCCAGGAACACCGTATGCAGGTTACAGGGCTCAGAGATGATGGAAAACTGAGGGCACCAGCAAAGGATAGTTCAATTTCAATTTTCTTTCGTGTGACAAAGTAAAGAATATGCTCTCTAAGATATATACATTTCAGGCATTTAAAGGTATGAACAGTACCGTGGAAGACAAAGCAGATGATATATCCGAATGTCATTATGACCGTTTGCTCAAAGAAAGATGGAGAGTGAAGCTACTGATAAGATTAAATGTAGAAAATCTAAAGATTGTGGCAGAAATTTTAGTGAAGTAAACAAATTTCAATATAGTTCTCAGGATATCCTATTTAATGCTAAATAGTCACTCAACCTAGTAGTAGTTCACTGAAAAAAAATGAAGTAATGTATTTTTCAAGAAATTTGCATATTTGAACATTCATTTTTTTTTGCTTTATGGTTTTGGATGCTTACTCTCCATGGTACTCTCTGTGGTTGGGTGACATATCCATCATCCTTTCTTTTAAAGATCACAGTTGTATCCAGCAATAGAGGGGAACATTTCATCCTATGTCTAGCCACTGATCCTTAGCATGCTTTAGTGCGCATGCCTTCACAGCTGCCATCTTGCCGCACTCAGTAAGGACATCAACTAACTCCCACAGTAATGCTTTTGTCTGATAGCCTAAGATTTACTAGTGAATTTGATTGATTTTTAAATCGATGTCATTTAAATATTTCTGTAAGTGGGGGAATTTGAATGACACAGAAGAAGCAGGCTATCACTGAAGAACAAGATGGAAATCAGGACTGAAAACTCCTTAGAAGAAAATGCAACCCAAACACTGAAACAACCAGCAGTTAATCTGAAGGAAGCCAAAGTAGAGTATTGATTAATGCTGAATTTATTTATTGTTGCAAGAGGAAATGTTAAGTGAGGGTTGTCATTTTTACACTATTTCAGGTTTTAATCAGAATCAGAACTTCATTTAAATTTATCATTATTCATGAGAGACAATTGAACTTGGCCTCACTAAATAATTTCGATACTTGGAGTTCCTTTCCCCAGCTCTTTTTAGTGGAATTCATTTTCCAAGATTATTAATATTGCTTGAAATTGTGTTCTTACTCCTTGTTTATAGGAGACTCTGATTAATAAAAATCCTCTAGTTGTCATAAATGTCTTATTCTCCACCCCAAATCTGGTCTTCAATTTGTTATAAGCGATTACTAAGTGGAACACAAAATTGTTACTTGGTTTTTATATTGGTTCCACTCACATCAAGTTATGTAAAAGAGAAATAGTCTATAGAAATACTTACATCTACAAATTAAACCCTAAAATTCTGAGTACATTACAGGTTTTGGGAACTAGTCTTATTATGAGGAAATCAAAGAATAAAGACCTATTGAAGGGTGAACTTTTTAGGATAGGTGAAGGATCTCACTTAGCTTTACATGCTAAAAATGTCATGCCTCAGCCCTCCTACTTGTTCTGTTTCCTTCAACCAATACTCTTAACTGGCTGCTTTTGCCTGGCTATTATATTAGGTACAAAGGAGGATATAATAAATACCATCTGGAAATGCAGAACGGTCCACTAGAGAACCCAAGATTAAAAGTCTGATACACACAGGTCCACAGACTGGTTCCCTCTGCAATATGAATGTGACCTTGAGCAATGTATTCATTCAGCCTAAATCCTCTGCATAACAGAGATAGGATTTGTATTGTGAGACAAAGATGTTAATGCCATGTGTGATTCAGTACCTTCTTTGTGTGTTTGAATGCAGTTTTTAAGTGTCAATGAGGAATTAAATCCATGCTTATTATTGAATAAGTGTATTTATTATGGAAGGTGATTATAATCAAATGAAAGTTACATACATTGAGTTCATGTACACTAATTTCACACAGCGAATGGTTCTGTTAAGCAGATAATGTATGTTGCTCATAATTACGCCTTCTCTAATCTTCTTTTTTTCCCCCCCCCCCCTTGTCTATTTCACATCCGGGAAAAGCAATATGGGAGATCAAAGGAAGGAACAAGGATGTCTTCTGTTTGTGTGAAGCACATGTTTTCTTAGAACAGTAGCATTTGAGATGGCACAGAAAGGAAGGGTTAGCCATGAACACCCGTGTGGTTGAGGCTGGGTGGTTGTACAGAATATCAAAATCAGAGTGCTGAGATAGCAAACTATAGCAATAGTCATTTTTACTCATTCCACTTGGCATGAACAGCTGAAAGGGATCATTGAATTCTACAGAGAGAGCTACATAGGCTGTGAAAGGTCTCAACGGATGCCTGAATGTAATATGAAATGGCGCGACCTGTGTGAGCTCCTGATTTTACACTGCTATTGTTAGTCTTCTGAGTTCAAGTACAGGAGGAGCAGACAGTTAAGTGAAGTATGAAAAGCCTAATAATTACAGAACCACTGTAAGCCAATATACATAGAGCCTCTGAACATGCTAATTTGGTTTTCGAGACACATCAGTAATAGCAGTGTTAGGTGAATACGAGAATTCACAACCATCCCAAGCATGGCAGGCTGCTTGAACGATTCCCAGTAGCTGATGGAGCTGGGAATGGCCTAAATGTCCAGTATGATTAATCCCTCCATCTTTCTATTCTGTTCCTTCTTCATTACCATCATCCTTTCTTTGTTTCCTTTTTTCACCAACTTAATTTCATTTGTAGACAAAGCAATGTGACTATTCTAAAAGATCATGAATCCCTAGAAGTTGCTTGGAGGAAAGAGATCTTGACTAAATTGTGAAACCACTCAGGGCAAAATAGTTTCATCTTGGGGTCATCTAGAAACACTCATGGCTTTATCTGGTGTTGTATGTATCTTCCTGCCAAGATGTAAAACAATGGACTGGATTATATTTTGGTGTCCATTTGACTCCACCTGCTATTGTTCTGTACAATGGCCATCATTAGCAGTGGTGAGCAGCTGTTGTCAAGAAGCAGGCCTCCCCTCAAGACACAAAACCTGAGATTTCCTGAGAACAGTCGTTTTCTTCTCAATTATGCAGTTTTTCATTAGCAAAGTATCCCTACAAATTATGTGTCTGAATGAAGGATAATGAACTCATTTGCGTGTTTGTTATTAATCAGGGCTGAATAAAGGATCCTTTTTTTTCTATTCTTGGATATTTGGAACAATAGTCAAGCAGCAATAATGACCATATCTTCTCCACTCCCAGATGGTAAATATTTATAAATCTCTTCTGGAAAAGGTGCACTACTGCAGAGATGTGGTGTAATTAGTAGACTATTGTGGTTGTTAGGAAACTGAGACACAGACATTTGTGCTATTAATGATTTAATACCCAGACCAGTTGTTGTCATAATTTACACAACAAGGGGAAATTACAATCATATTATAGCAGTCAGTCAGCTGTAGCTGTTGCATAAACCTTTCAGACTTGTAAACACAACCTCTACTTAAAAAATGATGTTTCAATGTTTCTTCATTTCATTTTCATGTTAGCTTTCAATATTCCAAAATGAGTAGCTAATGCATTTCGGTCCAATCTCTGTGGTGTCATTTTCATTTTCTGCTAGCTAAAAATTGATGATTTAATATTTGGAGGAATAGATGAGAAAGAATCACTCACAATACATGAAGTATACATGTCTTCTATATGTCTAGCATTGTGTTAGAGATGTTAACAAGTTGACCAAGCTATTATTGCTGTGAAATAAATTCATACTTGCCACTTACCAGTAACTTACCATAACCAGGAATATATAAGTACTGGGAAGAATGAAGGAAAAATATGAGGATATATGTATGTTTCATCCTTCAGCTTTTCATATACTAATTTCATTAATCAGTTAGCTAGGACTAAGACTCATAAAATACATGTGGGAGAATTGCTAGAAGATGACCTAACACCATGTTATTCATATATAGAGAGATTAGAAATAATATAGGTATAAGTTACATACATTATATTTTTATTTATACACCTTTATTATTTTTATCTATGTCTATTATCTATCATCTATCTATCTATCTATCTATCTATCATCCATCATCTATCTACCATCTACCTACATCCATCTATACATTGATCATTTATCTATTACTGTTTGGTAAAGAACTACCCATGCACTACAAAGCATGGTCAAGGAACAACATGTAAGCTGAAGAGAGGTAGGAGGCAGCAGACCTATCTACCTCTGCTTCGCCACCTTTGCTTTTGGAATGTTGCAAAGACTCAAGGGAGTACATACCATCCATCGCCACTTTCTCTGCCCATGTAAGAAGAGGAAGTTGAGCTTTAGGAGCAAAGATCTGCAAGACTTGCTCAAGCTCAGGTAGTTCACGGCTGTGTTTTCAAGTAGTTCAAATTCCTAGAATCCTGGCACAGTGCACTTACCAGTGATGATGAGGCTTTCTCTGAAGTGATGATTGTGCCATGCACTGAGTAACCGCATAGAGTTAATTTCATGGGGTCCTATACTAAGATGGTAGTGGTATGAATGAATGAGAAGGAAATGGTTACAACCAACAACCCAAGTTCCTGATATTGGCGGATATCCAAAACTCTCATTCCTAAACAAATGAATCTTCTGGAGATAAAAATTTTATTATTCTGGTTTAAATTTCTTATTTATACCAGTATTATATTTTGTGGCCTTAAAATGGCAGGCATTAGAATAACAATGGGAAAATTTAGCAAACTATTTGGAGATTTGAATTCTCTGAATTTTAACTGGTGGGAAAAAAAAAGGCCATATGAAATCAAGCTGTTTTTGACATATAACTAATCTAATTAAAGCTTATCAGGGAGGATATTTGAAATTAGAATGAAACACTTGAGGATTCTTGTCATTCCTAGTAAGTCTTCTGGTCACCTATCCTAACTACATTTCAGGCCTGTTAATTTTCTTGTGTGCAATAGTTTTGGGGTTTTGTTTTGTTTTGTTTGTTTGTTCTATAGTTGTCCTGAAGGATAAGGGGCACAGTTGGCCTCACATATAGCCCAGCTTGGCATGGGGCACTGTGGATGCCGAATATACTCACCATACTGCTTGTATTTGGTATGTCCCGAAATCTGTCCAAAGTTTGAAACTTCTGATTTAGTTCCTGAAACAATTCCATGTGCCTCTTCCTTGTGTGCATGACCTTCTGCAAGAGAGAACAGGGTGGCTCTCATTCCTAATTGGACTCACATGCTCTTAGAAGCTGGTTAATACTAAGGGAAGCTAAGCCAGGCAGGAGCCAGTAGTCGCCAAAGACACCACATATGCAAATGACATGTCCCAAATCACTTTTCCTGTCCCTATTCTTTCTGAAAAAGAAGAATCTTCCTCTCACAAAATTACAAAAAAAGTATCTTCTTTTTCTCATGGGTGCATTAAAACACAGCCATTATTCTTTTGTAAGATTTTCAGCCCTTAAAAGTTAAGTCTGTTCGGCAAAAATTGTTGCAGCAATTTAAAAATGTTAAAAAAAAATGTGGACTTCGTAAAGCACGCTACTCCTTGATGTTTGTCATGGGAAATATCGGTTCTTTATGTCTTACTTCTATAAACAGCACAAATGTAGCTGGCTGCACTAAAGCGGGAGCACGATCCCAGGCTCTGCCATTAATGCTGACTCACAGCTCCCAAGTGCCTGAAAGATGTTTGGGATCTAAGACCTTGAACTCTCCATGTGAATATCGACTGAGCTTTGCAGAAGGGAAATCTGGCCCATAGGTTTCATACACTTTTTTACCAGACGGTGTAGAATCTTAGCAGTCATGGTTTGGAGCACACATTGTGTGGCTGATGAGCTATTAAAAGCACAGGTACAAGTATACTAAATCCTTTCTTCCCTAGTTACATGTATTTTTTTTCTCTAAACTCCATTGTAAGCCAACAATGGGCTTGTAAGTAAAAAAAATGATCTTGGGGCATTTGAATATTTTCCTATTAGAAAGCATTTTAAAGGGCACTAGTAGAAAAGTCAGAGGATAAATTCTCTGTATTTACAAGTGCTATTCTGTGGTGATGTTGATTTTCAAAAGTTTTGGTCATTCTCCAGAACTCTGCCATCGTGTTTAAGAGTTCACAGTATTTTCAAACCTACACATCCGAACACCATTTGCTTCTGTGGTTGGAATGTGGTTATTAGATCTATGTCTGAGCTCTGACTTTAACTTCTGTCCCACTGCCTTAGTTAGCAAACATTTTCAGATGTAAAGATTTGTTGAGAAAAATAAATATATCTTTCTGGGAAAGACTGGCAGCACTTAGTTTTCTTCTAAAAAAAAATGCTTACGGAGAGGACAAACAGGGAGAGGGACAAATCAAGTTAAACTGAATCTTTTAACGTATTACAAAAGCCCATCCTCTCCTCTGTAGACTTTAGTTTCCTAACCTCATGGGTACCATCTAGGTAATTCACTGTTATGCTAATGGCTTTATCGTTTTCACAGCCCTATATTCCTGTGAGAGAATCCTGCCATTTTAAGTCATGCAGTAACCAATTTACATCTTTCAGATGGAGCTCTAGGACTTGGCTGTTGAAGAATCAGGTGGTTGAGGATGAGAACACGCTGGCATGACTCATGATGGCACATGAAACAGCAAGCAATCACAGCGCCATTAGCTTCCCATCAGTCTCAAAGAGAGTACATGAAACAGGTTTGCAGGATTTAGAGAGAAACACCAGGCAAACATAATTTGACTAGTGATGGCTGATGGAGATTTATGAGAGTGAGGATTTGCATAAGCAACTCAGTGGAGGGATTTTTGAAGGCTATGTATCTGGCTAAGTAATTCAGTACATCTTGTGCTTGGGAGACAAATATTTCTATGACGTACCAGGTCCTAAGACACTCATTTAATTACAGCCCTGTGACACACAGAACACTTAAAAATCAAAACAAAACACTTTTTCATAGTAATGAACATTGCTACCCAGTCATTTCCTTTTGTGGAGGAGTGATGTCACACCACCGTCATTTCACTAGGCACATTTCATTGAATGATTTAATGCCTTCTTGGGAACACTTCACATTGTGTTAAATGCTAGAGTAACAATGGTGAAAAAAAAATAAGGCTGAATTACTGCCTCCTGTTAGTTCAGTTGCACTGTAATTCAAATAAGTGGGAATTTATAGTTGTGATGCTAAGCAAGTTAGGTAAAAACTATGAGACTTACAAATAAGACAATCTCCAAATATTTACAAGTTCATATTCAAGTTAAAAATGATTAATTATGGTTCTGATTATCTGTATTCTCTCTCTCTCTCTCTCTCTCTCTCTCTCTCTCTCTCCTCTCTCTCAACTCTGATTTCTAGCTCTTGAATATCTTTTTCTCAGTGAGACCATCCCTGTTCAAAGACAAGCAATTCATTTTCCTGAAGCTGCCCAATACCAAAGGCACAACACTTTTGCTACAGGCATTCAACAATTGTTTTGCAGGCAGCTTCATTTATCCTTTACCTTGTGAGCTGATTTTGCCTGTGTTTAGAGTGAGCTCTCTAGTCCCATGTTGCTAGGAATGCCAATCAAATTTGCTACTCTTCCCTGGCCAAGAGCTAAATTAGTCCATGTCTTTCCAACAGAAATCTTTTTGTTTGTCTCTGTGTCTTATTCAAAGTCTTGTCATGATTCTTGCAACCTAATTCCTTTGTTATATAAAGAATGTTTAAAAAGCAAAGTCCATGTCAAACATCTCATTGGGAAACTTGATACCTTAACAGACTGGAGGTTTTATGGATAGTCTGTTTGAATGAGCAGTACTAGATTCTGAATTTGATGGATTTTATTTAAAAAAATTAGATGGGTTGGACATACTAAAAATATACAATGGAAAATATAAAGTTAAGGTGACTGCCAATGTTATATAAACAGAGATTATTTTGAAATATTTCACATAGCTCCATGAAAGGTATTCTAATAATAAAGCTAAAATACCTTGCAATAAATATGGAGGCAAATGATAATTTGGATGTTGAAATATAGAGCCCTTCCCTTCCTACTTGCAAACATTAGTTGCAAATATATTCTTTTGCCAGATAATCATTTTGAATTGAAATGGCCACTGTGACACTGCCAGAAACCACCATAGCAATAATAGCCTGCATTCTGGAAGCAGTATCAATTATATCTGCAGGAAACAGCTCCCATCGCTGACACAGGCTCAGTTTGGCTTTCCCTACATGACTCCTTTTTATTCATAGTCTGAAGTTCGTCTTCCTACCTTCATTGAGAATGAGAGTTTTCCTCACTAAGAATGCTAGCTTTACAGGTGAATGTTGGAAACTTAGCTATATTTTCTGTTTTTACACAATATTAAAGGTTTGTTTTCCTTACCTGCTTCCAAAACTTTCCATTTATGGCATTTATACTTTTGGTGATCTTAGATACCTGGGTAGACTTTTTCATGCTTCTAAATTTTATTGGTCCATTTTGATGACTCTTCTCAGATCTTGGGCTAACCTAAGATTTTCTCACTTCTTTCTTTCTTTTGTGACTTAAATACCCTGTTTTCCAAAGAAATCAACTTCTATGAAAAAAATTACACCTCAGTTTTCTAAAATCTTAGAGTGATGATAAAAGTCTAACATGCATTTTCTATGTAGAAACACAAAGATATAGTCTAGCAATAACCAGAATTGTGTTACTTTCATCACATTTCACTGCAAATACTGCAGGAGTATTTTGCACTAAAAATCAGTGGATAGTAATATTCCTTTCCACTCAGATTAATAGCATTTAACACTGTTTTGAAAGATTGATGAACCTCTGTCTCAAGATGATGGTTAGACTGCTCACATGTATATGCTTTCCTAAGCAGCTTAGTTCTTTGTTCCTCTTCATTTTTCATTTAAACATTTAGTAACAGCAGCAACAACAAAGAACAACAACAAGACCTCTTTTAGTGTAAGAAACTCTTTCAATTTATACCTTTATAATTGCAAAATTCAACTGTTGGACCCCATCAGTCATTGATATTACAGAAATAGTGATATGTTATAAAGCACATCCATTGTAATTTGGAATTTTTTTTAAAAAAATTGAGATTATAAAGTCTTAAGCACATACTATAATCCTAAGAGCTCTTGAAGACCCTTTAAATTCTTGGAGTATGCCAAGTCTGATAGCTCTGGACCTGTGGAAATACCATCAATTTCAAGTTTCATGGCCTGAAGCAGGAACTGCAGTCTCCCTGTTGACAGTTTCAGCAATGAGGCCTATCTTGTAGGGCCTCATAAAATCTTCATAATATGAAGATTTTACAAAGGATGCAGAACACTTAACACTGAACCACACAAACAAGAGCCACTTAAAGAGGAGACAGCACATCAGGGAAATGCAAATCAAAACAATTCTAACGTACCATTTTAAAAACATCTATCAGAATGGCTAAGATCAAAAAATACTGAGGACAGCTTATGCTGGAGAGGACAGGGAGAAAGGGGACACTCCTCCATCTCTGGTAGGAGTAAAACTTGTACAGTCACTTTGGAAATAAGTATGGTGGTTTCTCAAAAATTTGGGAATCAATCAACCTCAAGACACAGCAATACCACTCTTGAGCATATACCCAAAAGATGCACAATCATGCCACAAGGACATTTGTTGCACTATGTTCATACCAGCATTATCCGTAACAGCCAGAACCTGGAAACAACATAGATGCCCCTCAACTGAAGAATGGCTAAAGAAAATGTGGTACATTTACACAATGGGGTACTACTCAGTGGTAAAAAACAATGACATCTTGAAATTTGCAGGCAAATGGATGGAACTTAGAAAAAACCATCCTGATTGAGGTAACGCACACCCAGAAAGACAAACATGGTATGTAGTCACTCGTAGGTATAAATGGGGACCCTAAAATGGAAACACATGGAGGGCTCCAGGAAGGGAAAACAGTTACAATCTCCTGGGTAAACTGGGAGGGGGTTAGAAGGGAGGGGATGGGGGATGGAAACATGAGGGATCAACAAGACCTAGCTGCAGAAAGAATCAGGAGAGCAATGAAAGAGAAATCTTGATGGAGGGAGCCATTATGAGGTTAGGGAGAAACCTGGTGCTAGAGAAATTCTCAGAAATCCACAAGGATGGCCACAGCTAAGACTCCTAGCAACAGTGGAGAGGGTGTCTGAACAGGCCTTTCTCTTTAATCAG